TATCTTACCCTCTTCTCAGCCAGCATTATTCTGCTCTGCTCCATCTACTTCTTGTGTGATTCTATGACATTCTTGTACATAACTACAGTAAAATCTCGAAAACTCGAAGTCGGTTAACTCCAAACTACGCTTAACTTGAAGATTAATTCCTGCTGAAAGAATAGGCTTTTATGTAGCCGGATTCATTTACCTCGAAGTTTATGTGTAGCAGAGCCAAAAGAAACCGCTGCCAAAATACTTCAAGAAAGCGTAAACAGAACGCGGGTCTAGTTATGAATCATTTCTGACATGCACACTTCGTCTTTTCACACCTGAAAAATCCTCTGCAAAAACGGTCTTCCCATGAACAAAAACTTGTGGCACCAAAGTATAAAATAACCACAATGTCATTTCAAAAGTCATTGTAGGGAGGTTTACAGTAACTGTGCGTCAGCCTATAGGTACATGTTATGATACACATCATAATTAGACTTAACTTCAAAAGAAATCTGGACCTTCTTTTAACTCAAATTTCGGATAACTCAAATTTTTTGTCCATTCCCCAGAGATTCCAGGTATCAAGATTTGACTGTAATTCCATTCACCCCAATCTCATCTTCTCCCCACCTAGTCCAGTCTACTTCCTTACCCTCTTCTCAGCCAGCTCTAACCGCCTCTGTTCCAGCTCTCTCTCTTGTTCATCAGTGTGATCAATGATGCTTTTACCTCCCACCAGTAGCTTGCTCTCCATGGCCTTGATCTTAGACTCTAGGGCATCCCGAGCATCTTGCTGCTTCTTCAGCAAGCCCTGCCGATGCTGTAGCTCCTGCAGAAATTTCTCCTTCTCCTAAAGGTAGGCAATAACATAACTCACATGAGTAACAAAGGGAAGGATAAATACTACCTAAAAGTTGAGGTGTAACACGGATCACAGTAAGAGTCAGGTTAAGTGCTAAATGAGTTGCAACCTGCCACAGTAACATGAACAACACAGGCAACAGTCACAAAATGTAAGAGTAACATAAACCATGATAATGGGGTGGCACGGCATGTATAGAGGGGGTAGAAATACAACGAAAACACAGTGCTTGAGGGTAGTTTACATACATTGGTAGGTGCAATATGGCTCAAGGTAATAAGGGTCCTGCGAGATACAATGACAGCAGTGGCAGGAGAAACGGGAGTGAGAAATATCAGAGAGATTGATGGAGTAATGAAGGTCACATGCACTACAACCTGTCTCAAAATTCTACAGGGGTACTTAGGTTCTGATAAGAAGGAAGCACAAGTTAACATTTGTGTATGGATCCGATGACATCTGAAATAACCTAAGAAATCCTGCCGTTGTTAGAGGCATTACATCCTTGATTGCCCTCCGGATGTGGAGAGTGCATAACATGAGTAGTTGTAGTCCAGCACTTCACAAGGATTTAATACTGGTCAGGAGAATACTTTCATTTCATTACTTTTCATGTGTATGTGTATCAATACCTTACTGCTCACATTAAGCCTGGGATACTTAGTAACGATATGTGATCACTTGTGAAGCAATTACAAGTAGGTCTGCAGTACAAAACAGCAGCACTGAATGTAAGTCAGACTGTCATGGTATAATCTGAGTAGCTTACCTCAGCAATCATGGTCTTGTTAGCCACGATGGCCTCTTTCTCTGCATCCAGTTTGGCCTGAGCCTGCTTATACATCTCTTCCTCATCCATCTCTTCACCTTCCTCGGTTTCATCTTCAATCTCTTCATCTGAACCACCAGCTGATGGAAAAGACAGATTATTATTGAATCGTAGCTACATTAAATGTAACACATCAGGAAGTCAGAAGAATGTGATAAGGTCTAAACATATCTTTATAACACTGCTATGGGTACTAGCATCATCCAGAGTTCCCACACCTAGGCTCTACTGCCAACAAGAGTCTGATAAGCTAAAAACCACCTCTGGACAGCACAGGGCAAGTTTGGGCCTGAACTATAATTCGACCAGTACTCCATTGCTTTTTAACGATGTGCATGCGCAATTCTGTTACACTCAAATGACCCTAGTCGGTGATTTTGTAACAATCTCATTGTTATTCATGTTTCACCATTGGCTGCGATTCTCGCAGCGTACACAGTCATTGAAATCTTGTACTATTATTTTCATATGAATGGTTCCCCCTGCAGTGATAAATGAAATCAGTTACTGATAAACACAGGCACAAGCACGCCCCTGGGCCTGGTCCCAAATGGTCGACTAGATAGTCCAAATCATTCATTGTTCAAGTGATGTTAGTTGAATTATAGTTAACTTCAGTCATTGCTTAAATTTGCCCACAGCTGTCAATGTCAAGCAAGCGCCCTCATGTGACTCTTAGGAGTAGGCTAAACAGCACCATCAGAGTTCTAACACAAGAGCCATTACCGCCACCAAGAGTCTCAGTGTCTTTTACAAAGAGTGTTCACCTTCGCCTTTTCTCCGCCTCCTCTTTCTTTTCTTGGTTCCGCCCCCACCACCACCCTTCTTCTCCAGCTGCTGTTTGAGGCGCATGATTTCATCTTGGAACTCTCTCAACAGGGCGTCCTTTGGGTCTTCATTGATTCTGGGTTTATTCTTGATATTCTTGGCACGATTGGCGTACCTGGAAAGATAACGTAAAACAACTTTACTTCATGGCTGAGCACTTGGTAAAACATGGCCTTCCTGTCCCTTGCATTAATAACCAAATATGACTAGATGCACTGCACACATGGACAAGCTAAGTGTCAGGCTATCATAACTGCCAGCACTGAAAAGGCAGAAATTCAAACAACAAGCAGCAGTGTGAGAGAAGCTATTTCATGTACACACATGCACATGCACAATGTATGTGTGTAAGACACACTAAATAGCGCCCTCTTTTTCTGCAAGTATCAGCCTCTTTTACCTGGCCTTTTTTCCCTTTTTATCCAAATCGTACTATTCCAATTTTTGTGGTTGGAAAAACTTAAAAATTGGAATAGTTCCAATTAAATTGGAATAGTTGGCAGATATGGGCTAATCAACTGGCTTTGACTTTAATTCACACAAGTCACTGTAAAAAGTGGTTGTAGCCGCTGACTGCGAGTCAATGGCTTCCACTGGTGGACATAAATAAATAAGCCACAGCCATGTTGAACATGACCTTAATGTCTTCCATTCATGCTGACTGCTAGCCACACAGCAGTCATGATAATTCAAGCATTGATCCCATATACTGAGGTTTAAGGACCTCTTTGATTCACTAGTGAGCTCTTTATTTGATGTATAACTCAGTGTTACATCATGAATACAGGCACTACATGGATTGAATGCTGACATTTCTATTGATTTCCACAGAGTATAGTTTGCTTGTTTGCAACACAAAATGCTATTTTCTACATGTTAGAGCACCCTGTGATAGTTGTTTGAAACATCTCTCTTCTCCCGTATTTATATCCTTTCTGTAGAAAGTCAAGGCATACCACTTTGTGAATGGCCAATTTTACCTGAGTGTTGTTAACGTCTCATCATAGTTATAGCTGGCTGGACCCAGATTTGCCACCATCACTGTCTTTGCATTTCCACCCAGTGAGTCTTGTAGTAGCCTGGTCAGCTTGGAGTCTCGGTAAGGTATGTGGGTGCTCTTACCATCTACCAGGGCTGAGATGACATTACCCAGGGCAGATAGGGAGAGATTGATCTTAGTCGCTTCTTTCAATCTCTCACCCTGATAAATAAAAACAGTCACGGTATTAATTCCAAGCATGACAATTGAGGCATTGTGCTAAGTGAGGAAAGTTGATCATGCACAAGCATACTCCAAAGTCAGGCCTCTCAAATAAAGCATGAAGAGACAGAGCACTGAATATGCACACAAATGGAATGAATATAAGCAGCCATTCACAAGTTTGTGGGTGTCACCACACAAACAAAACAGCACACAAGTTCCTATGGTTAAGAGTGACTTTCATAGTTTAATTGTTTAAGCAACAGGCTTAATGTCAATAAAAAAGCAAATCTATATTTCATTCTTCCATTTTTAGGAATCATTTTTGTACAGAATGAGATAATCCACACATAATTCTCATTTTTTTTAAATCATGCACTACTATGCCTGCTGTTACAATTAGTAATTTGAGAATAAATTACACATTTATTGAACAGTAATCTTTGGCACCCAATTGAGGAATTGCTGATCAGAACAAGTCATAATAAAGGGATTAATGACACTGTGTGATCCTCCCTATTTTGAATTTTCTAAATGTGTAAAAAAAAGTCTGAACTCTACAAAATAACAATGAAGAAATTATGAACTAGCCCCCATGTACATGATGTATCTGACTTACTGCCAGTACCAGGCTGGTATCAGACCGGTATCAGGCAGGTACCAGGCCAGTATCAAGTGGTATCAGGCCGGTATCAGGGAGGTATCAGGCCAGTATTAGGCCGGTATCAGGCCAGTACCACGCCGCTTTCAGGCCAGTGTCAGGCCGGCATCAGGCCGCTATCAGGCCAGTATCAGGCCGCTATCAGGCCAGTACCAGGCCAGTATCAGGCCGCTATCAGGCCAGTATCAGGCCGCTATCAGGTCAGTATCAGGCCGCTATCAGGCCAGTACCAGGCCGCTATCAGGCCAGTACCAGGCCGCTATCAGGCCAGTACCAGGCCGCTATCAGGCCAGTATCAGGCTTACCTGTGCTCCTGTCTTTGCTTGTCTCTCACTGCCAGCTAAGTCCACCAGGTTTAGCTTACCGACTCGTATGTGATTCTCCCCGTCTGGCCCAAGCTTTCCAATAATAAAAAATAAATTGTGTAAGAATTTTAGTTTACATTTTTGGCAATACTTTTACTACTAGCAACCTTCATACAAGGGTACACCACTGTCAGGTGGAAAAAAACACTTGGGGTAATATTCTGGCTGTATAAGTATTTCTAGGAATTCTATAAACACAGTGGAGTATTGTGAAAATATGTGCAAAAACACATTCTACGGTGTTGAAGTGCAATTAGCAGTGACAATATTGTCAGCTCACCTCACTGCATTCTATTGTAATGATGAATATTGCATGAGACCGGGAACTGTGTTCATTCATATTTGTTGCGCTGATGAGAGAAAGGAAAGTAAAGCAAAGTAGTATTGATTAGTAGTTAGCACTGTCATTACCTATGTCGCTATAAAGAGACACATCATTTACTGTAACTTAATTTGTCCTTGATGCAGACCTGTCTGGTATGTTTCAGACCTGTATGGATCTCATTGGTTCAAGGGTTTTGACACACGTCAAGTAGCTGGTTCGGTATTCCAACAGAGCATATTCAAAATGAATCTCGGTGCTGGTCATTCAGGATAATTAATAACAAGTTGCTGAAACTAAAACCCTAACCCTAACCAACCCTAACCAACCCTAACCTGAAACTAAAATTGCCATGCCATGCAATAAATCTTGTGCTTCTCAACGTTGTTGAAGAAACTCACCCCACTGATCTGTTTGTGTTGCCAACTGTCATGACGTGCTCAATCTCCTTGACACTCTTGGTAACAAAGGATGACAAGTCCTGTTGGGGAAAGATGGCTTAGAATTTGCAATTTTCAAAACTCAAGATTTCTTGGGGCCAGAGGCTCTCTATCCAGACACCATTTCTTTAGAGGAAGAAAGCAAGAGAAATTATCCATCAATCTGTGGGTGAGTTGGGATTTGCTGATTGACGAACATCACTGTATACGCATGCTAGGAATTGACCATCTCACGTTGATCTCTCACAAACAGATGTCTTTTATACCTGGCTGATAGACAAGGCACAATAAACCTAAAACTAAAAACAGCACACCATTTTATGGTTTACCATGTTTCTGAACTTCAGTAAACAAAATTAAAGGAATTCACTTCACGAAAAAAGTCACTCCTCAAGAACTACCGTAGTTGCATCTGTTTCTAAACAAAAGATGACTGTCCCGCTACCTCTGTACAATTTGTCAAAGATAATGTGTAACCCCCCCAAAATGGGGAAACACTACCAGAGTATGTTAGTTTACAGTCTGCCTTACCTTGACATAAACACCTGTGTCTGGTCTCTCCTTCAACTCTAACCGTTTAGTCTGGTCCTTCGATAACAAATCTCTAATGTCCTCCTGCAACCAAATGATCATACCAAAGTTGTAA